AATCCTTGAGTAGGAACATGAATCTTGCACAGATCAATATAATTTCTCCTTTTCCATTCTTTTTTTTTTTTTTTTTTTTTTGTGGATTAGCATTTTCTGCCAACTTTTAGCGTTGTCAGAAGGGAATCTTTTTATGTGTGTGTGTAGATTATATTATGTGTACATTTAGTTACATACATGTCTTTTTAGTATGTATAGATTTATCATGTATGCAGACAACTATAGGTTAATCTTTCCATTTTACTTGTATAAAATTTAAAATAGCAAATATAAATGATTATTACTTTTGCAAAAGTATTGCTTTAGTTTATGAAAGTTTTCTATAAAAATGTTGAACTCCCCAACAATATTTATCCATTTATTAATCCATTTATTCATCAACCATAACCTGGATACGTATTATGTTGCAGACATATTCTAAGATCTCTCAGAATCCTTCCATCCCTAAAGACTTCATGTTTATCTGCCCAGTCTGAGCAAGTTGAGATTAAAATTGAAGTATCAGACAATAGAAGCATTTCTGAAGGAAGGAAATTGTAAAAGATAACCTTAAACTGTCCTTATGAAAATTTATAGCAGTATTAAATGCTAATATTAATCACTGGAAATATCTGATTTGCATACATTCTATAAGTGTAAATATTGAAGAAGATGAGCTATACCTATTCATTTGAATCTTGAGTTTCCTTTGGTTTAAAATTTCATGAAAGTAAAAGTAAGAATTACTTTGTTTTCAATTTTTTGTTGTTATTTCAGCCCACTTTCCTCATAGTACTTTCAAGAACTAAAATTTATTTAAAAACCATCCATATTACTAGAACTGCCATAGACCTTTGTATATACCATATTTTACTTGATGTAATGATTCACCATGGATTGTGTGATGCACCATTATTTCATATATTAATAAGAATTTTTAAAATGCTGCCGGTTATAGTTCTAAAACATTATGAATTATAAGTGGCCATCCAATATCAGAGATGTTGAAGTGTGAGAAAATGAATATCTTAGAATTATTAAAATATGGTGTTATCCCTAATCCTTAAAACATATCTTCAGAGTCGATGTAACTGTGTAATTTTACTTCATTGAAGTGTTGTCTTTGTGGTAATAATTATAGTAATAATTATAACATCTAACAGTCACTGAGCTGTTATTTGTGCTGGGAGCTGTTCTAAATACTTTACCAAGATTCTCATTAAAACATTGCAGTGGGGTCCTGTGGTTAACTCTAACCACTATTTTTCATCTCCATTTTCTTGATGAGGAAATTGAGGCTCAGAAAATCTAAGCGATAGCTAGTAAGTGACAGAATTTAAAGTAGGATTCAAACCCAGATTGAGCTGAATGCAAAGGCCATGAACTTTTTACTAAAATAGGCTGCCCTTTTCATTAATGTAGTGAGTAACAAGTGCTAATAAATATTGTGCTTTCTTTAGAAGGAAATTAAGTATTTGTTTTGAAGAGAGAGGAATAACATGCTATTTAATGTTTCCAGTTACATGAATAATTGCATATTTTCAAAGAGTACACTATAATTTCCTAAAATGTCCTCTCACTTTCATAGGACCCCACTACATTTGGCCTGTGCCAGTGGTCATCATGAAGTGGTAACTCTCCTAGTAGAGAGCAGATGCCATCTTGACCTGTATGACAGCGAAAACAGGACAGCTCTGATGAAGGTACATAATAGCTATTTCTACATGACATGGCTGTGATGTAAATAGTTAGAATAAAACTGAATTTCTGTCGTTTAAATATTAATTGGTAAAACCCACAGAATGTTTATTTTGAATTCCTCGAATTTATCATCTATTTCTTGGTGTAATACTGACAGGCTGTACAATGCGAGAAAGAGGAATGTGTAGATATCCTGCTAGAGCATGGTGCCGATCCAGACCTCACGGACTCCCACGGCAACACTGCTCTCCACCATGCTGTCTGCGGTCACAGAGTATCAATTGCAGCAAAACTGCTCTTACATCATGCAAATATGGAAGCAAGAAATAAGGTACAAGATCAGCCAGCTCTATTTTCAAAATATTTGAAATTCGTTTGCATTCACATTGACATGTGTGGGGTCAGTTTTCTATCTTTGAAAGATCAAGCAGTTGTCTAGGATTGTACTTTAAATATTGATGCTTTTAATGAAGCATGAGAGGGTACAGCTTTTTTTTTATGCATTTATGGCACATACTTATGAAAACACTGATTTTGTTAAAGGCAAACCTTTTTTTTTTTTCCAAATAATTTTTTCCACCCAGGTTGTTTTTCTGATTAGTGTAAAACAACACAGGAAAGCAAAATTTGCTTTGGAAATAGGCTTTATCCTAAAATTCAAACAAAACAAAAGCATTTTACAATAAATAGAAATCTTGTTGATGTTGATGAATTCTTATTTTATAAAAAAGTGACTTATCTCTCAGTGGCAAGAAATAAGAGGGAAAAATAAAAAGGAGAAAGGAGAGAGCAATCAGAAATATGCAGGCCAATTTGTAAATTAGGTGGTTGAGGGAAAATACCAAGAAGTTCTTTTTGTTTTCATTTTTTGGGGGGTTTTGTTTCCAGATTATATGCTTTGACAAGGTGTTCTTCAATTTGGGGGATATTAATTCTGAGTTTGGGAAAGAAAGTTAGTGAGTCGTCAACTTGCCTAGAGATCAATTTTTGGAGGACTCTGAGGAAACCATATTGGCAGTGACTGGGTGGTGATTAAGCGAGAAAGGAGGGAAGAACAAAGAATTAACTGATACGTTATCCTATTCTGGCAGAAACAGTTGCTAAGATAAGAGTCTAAACCCTGCTCTCAAATCTAGAATGTCTTGATGGAAAGGTGGAAGATAGGGATCTTAAAAATAACAAAATCACCCTGTGTCTTGAGTTTACTAGTCCTTATTGTACCCCTACCCAGGAAAATGTAGTGGAGTTTCCAGTAAGTGATTCTGTATTTTGCTCTTTCCTCTTTTTGGCCTGATCCCCAGATAATAAATAGAATTGACCATGTGGGTGAGAGATGAGACTGAAGTGATGGTCTACTGCACTGGTTCTCAGCTAGAATGAGAACTGCACTGCAATGACATAGAGAAATTTAAGATAATTTACAAGTCTAGGCCCTCCTGTGAAGATTTTTTTTTTTTTTTGGTCTTTTTCTCAGGATACGTATATTTAAAAATATTTCCCCCAAATTCTGGTACAACTCTTGGTTAAGAACCACTGAATAAGTAAGCATAATATATGAATTCCCACTGATCTTTTGGTAAAGCATGATACTTAAGAAAGGAAAGATTTTTACATGCAAATACTTGCTTTATATGCAACCATTTGGGAACACTCAGAACAAATACAAAAACTCAAGGGCTATGGAATAAATGAGAACCATAGATATGTTTAGTTTGCCTCTATAAATTGAGACAACATTTAGAATTTAGGAGTCTCATGCAGAAATCTGGATTTCTGCCTTCTCTTAAAGAATCAAATCTGGCTTACAGAGCCTGTATTACTGTGTGGTATGCTGTGCAGAGGCTGCCCCCTGTACACGAGGCATATGTTTGCTACTGTCCCCACCTAGGTACTTCATTTACTCAAGTCACCTACTTTGCCTCTGTAAGTATTTGAGTTTACAGCCCCTGTTTCATAATATATTTTGATAAAGATTTCAAGGTTTTCAAGATAAAGCTTATTAACTTATAGTAATATACTTTATATTTTATATTAGCCTCTTAGAAATGGCATTGAACTTTATAATTTAGAAGATAGTGTTTTTAAAACTTTTTCCTTACAGTTGCTTATAATAAGATACTTGAAACTGAGTAATTATAAAGAAATAGAATAATATAATTATAAAGAATAGAATTATAAAGAAATAGAATAGAATAGAAATAGAATTGCTTACAGTTTCAGAGGCTAGAAAGTTTACAGTCCAGGGAGCTCATCTGGTGAGAGAGTCTTGGTGGTGGTGGCTCTACAGCAATGCCAGGTATCATCTGGCAAATGGCTGAGCGAGGGAGAGCTAAGCTTCTTACCTGGTCTCCTTGTAGAGCCATTAAACCAGACCCATTACTCAATGAATGGATCAATCCTTTCACAAGGTTACAGTCCTCACAATCTAATCACCTCTTTAAGGTTCCCTACCTTTCAATTACTGTAAGACTTTCCACCTTTTGAACACTGTCATAGTGGGGATTAAGTTTCTAATACATGAAACTTTGGGGGACACATTCAACCCTTCTCATCATGGTTGTAGTTGGATATGTTATGCATATTGCAGACAGTATTATATTATTCTCTTTAGCATTGTCCCTTAAAAATGCAAGTGATTTAGTGGCCTTCATTATGCTAAAAATAATCCATCCGTATTAGTATTAGGAGTCTTTATTGATAATTCTTGTATTTTTATTTCCGATTTATATTTTGCCTAAGGTAAATAATTTTAAGTAGTAGTTTGAATGGAAACCTGAATAAAAATGGATTTTAAAAGTAGTATGCATTAGGTCCCAAGATTATGATTGTAATTGAAAATAAAATTCTGTACTTAGCTTTCTAGCAACTAAGGTAAAAATCTATCACCTTGTTATATGAGAAAATCCAGGGACTGTTTAGTCATAAGTAATTAAAGTTCATTTGAAGCCTATGTTTTAAAATTCAGAGGCCATTTCCTTAGTGAGCCATTTGGAGCAGGAGTGCCTGACACTGGCATCTGGGATCCTGACACCTTTGACAGGAGAGAATGGAGTGAGTCTGTGTAACCTAGAAGGAACCTTCCCCTTATTGGAAAACTCTCAAAACTATGTCACTGAAACTCTAATTCCTCAAATGTTACTGTTTCCCTCAAAAAAGGTATTGTCAACTAGGGGTTAAGCCAATTAAAGAGATTCCTTTAATACTAGACATAGAATGCACAATTTATAATACTTCTCAAATGCCGGTGAACATTCTGTTTGGACACAGTACTTATGGTAAAGTAAATACTGTTTGGAATATAGTATAAGAAACACTGGTCTAGAGATGCTAGATGATTTAGGTCATTGATTCAATAAAAATACTTAAATCATTTACTACTGTGTCACAGGGTTTGTGCCACAGAGATAAATGATACAGCCCCTGCTCTCGTAAATGATACAGCCCCTGCCCTCAAGAAGCTCTTGGTCTAGATAGGAAACAATAACACAACTACAGTATACCATGGTGAAAGCTGTGGTAGAAGGAAAGATTGTTGGACCCAGTCAATGTTTGATGTGAGCGTTGGAGATGACCACACACCACACCAGTTAGTGTGGTCAGGCAGAGAGATGGGGGGCATGTGTCAAAGGTAAGGAGCAGAACATGTGAAAGTACGGAAGAGTGAGAAGGAAGGACAGCTTGTTATTTACTTTCTATATTATATGTTTAAGTTCATAGGGCCTTTTAGGAGGTTTTCAATTTAGTTGAGAAATATGTAGTTTTGCAAATTGTAAATTATTTTTGCGGTTTCACAGGAAGGGCTCACACCACTTTTACTTGCTATAAAAGAAAACAAACAGCCAATGGTGGAATTTTTAGTACAGAAAGGAGCAAATATACACGTGTTTGATAAGATGAAAAGGTACAGTAGTACATTCTTTTCTCCTCAACTTTAATGTTGTTCTTATTAAATTAAGAAGAAGATCACCATATAATTATTGGGATATAGTGAAAAATATCAACACAAATCATCAGTAAGGTAGGAAAGCAATTATTCAGAGGGGGCGGCAAGAAGAACAGTACATAGTAGGATTCATATTCCCTTGTAATATTGACCGACGTTTGTTATTGTAATCTCATTTTTTGGTCTTAAGTGCTTTCATATTAGTTTTACTAGCCTTAACAAGTGTGGACTTTTCAAATAAGTTGATGACTCACTATTGAACTTCTTAACCATTTTATAGTGTTTTTAAAAAACTGATTCTTATATACTTTCCCTTCAAAATGCTTATTAAACATAAATAGTCAAAAATCAGTTTTCTTTTGCAATATACTTTCCCTTCAAAATGCTTATTAAACATAAATGGGAGCCAAAAATCAATTTTCTTTTGCGTGACTCTGGTTCAAATTGCTTTCTTTGAAGAATATTGATGCTAAATTATCCTTAAGTTGCTATTAATTGCTACTATCAGATATTGTAGGTTCATTGGGATTTTTTTCCTCTTCTCTTTCATTTCTAGTTTATTTTAATGTTTTGATTCTTAATTGATATGGCAGAGGGAAGAAAGACAGCTTTAATTGGATAAACTTTTTCTTTAGTGAAGACAAGTCATAGGTAGGTGATAAAGAGACGAGAGATAGGCTTTAGATTCACATAAGACTGGGTTTAATTCCGAGCTTTTCCATTTGCTAGGGTGTGACCTTGGGAACACTACTTACCATTTCATTTGGCTTAAAATTTCATGAAAGTAAAAGTAAGAATTACTTTGTTTTCAATTTTTTGTTGTTATTGCATTTAATTCAGTGCCTAGCACATGCTTATCAATATCACTAACTGAAACTACTATGACTACTATTATTACCATTATTATTGATATTATTGTGATAAGCCTTTACGTAGCTCTTATTTATCTGACCCCTAGGTGACTTTGGATTACAATATATTATATCAGACTAGGGAAGAAATGGAGAATTCTTTACTTAGTTCCGATGAGCTACCTCAGTATAATTTGTTGTCCATCAAAGGACTTAAATTAGCACCTTTTACTGTGTAATACCCCAGTGGGACACAAAGGCTTCCTTTTTGTCCCTTCCATTTAGTCTTGGAGGTGATTTACAGATTAGTACCCAAAATGTTTATGTCTGTTAATACCTAAAATGAAGGTATTAAGTCTACACAGACCAGCATGGCATTCAATTGGTAATGTATGTCAAATTAGGTGTTTAAATAACTTTATTAAAGTTCCTATGGGTGAAGTTATCTCTCCGTTGTTTTAGAAATGCCCTCATGCTTGCTGTAAATTATGAATCAACTAATACAGTCAGGCTTCTTGAGCAAGGTACTGATGCCTTTTCTGAAGATATCTTTGGAAGGACTGCAGAAACATACTCTCTTGCTAGTGGTTGTAATATGTATTTTCATTAAAATGCTAGTTAGTACTAAATTGAGGTTTAAAGTAATTATAACTATTGCATCTTATATGTCAGATGAGATGCCATAGTTTAGTTCAGCTAATTTGGAAATGGTAATGAGTTAATCTACTTCAGAAGCCAAGCAAAAGGCTGGACTTTGAGTTGATTTTGGTATATCGTGAGATGTGGTCTTTTGTTATTCTATATAAATGTCTGGATAGCTTTTTCCATTTCTGAGAAAAATGTCATTGGAATTTTGACGGGAATTGCCTTGAATCTGTAGGTCACTTTAGGTAATATGGACATGTTCACAATGTTGATTCTTCCAATCCAAGATCATGGGATATCTTTCCATCTTCTTGTGTCCTCTTTAATTTATTCTCTCAACAGTGGTTTGTAGTTCTCTTTGTAGAGATTTTTCACATCATTGGCTAACTTAATTGCCAAGTATTTTATTTTTTTGGTGGCTATGTAAATAGCTTTCTTGATTTCTTTTTCTGCATGTTCACTGTTGGAGTATAGAAATGCTAGTGATTTTTGTATGTTGAATTCGTATCATGCAACGTTGGAGAACAGAGTTACTTGTCATATATGCTACCAGATATGTATCCCAAGGCACCTTTGAATCCTGTGTAGTACCTTTTCTTAGATTGTGGAAGGTCCCATATTGTGCTTCCTTAGGGTAGTGTGTATCAACCTATGGTTGGCCCCACAAGTGATCTGTTTCTTGTAATAATGAAAACCTCTCAAGCTACATGCATCTCCACCTCACACTTTCAAAATATTTTCAAATTCTGTCTCACAAGAAAGGCATTCAGGAGACTTCTCTGAATTTAAAGTTGGTCGATTGGATTTGAGATAGGTAGGCCCCATCCATGACTCTTCAGTATCCATGCATGAAAGTAGGATTTTTTTTTTTTTGTCTTTTTCCGTGTCCGGCAACGGATCGCAACCCTCAGTGTTGCCCCCGTACCGGGCTGGGGACCGGCAATGGGATTGCAACCCTCGGCGCCGCTTCCGCACCTCGCTCAGCCAGTGAGCGGGAACCGGTCTGTATGTGGGATCCGAACCCTCAGGCGGGAGCACCGCCGCACTTCCCAAGTGGCGCACTTATCCAGTGCGCCACCGGGCCGGCCCGAAAGTAGGATTTTTTGCTTGCATCATGTCGGCAGCACATATAGTAAAGTTTAATGATACAGAGAAGATTGGCCTGGCCCCTCTGCAAGTTCTGTTTCTTGTAATAATGAAAACCTCTCAAGCTACATGCATCTCCACCTCACACTTTCAAAATATTTTCAAATTCTGCCTCACAAGAAAGGCATTCAGGAGACTTCTCTGAATTTAAAGTTGGTCGATTGGATTTGAGACAATTAGGCCCCGTCCATGACTCTTCAGTATCCATGCATGAAAGTAGGATTTTTTTGCTTGCATCATGTCGGCAGCACATATAGTAAAGTTTAATGATACAGAGAAGATTAGCCTGGCCCCTCTGCAAGAATGACATATGAACTTGTGATGCTTTCCATATTTGTGCAGTCCCTGAAAGATTATTTGACTATTTTCTGACTAGTTCCAAGGAAACAGTGTGTGAGTCAAAGCAAAATGGCTGGCACCCAATGTTGATTAGCTCACTAATCAGGGACAATTACATTAGTGAATTTAATGAGACAATATATTTACCAATAAATTTAACTACAAAATATAAAATAGCTGAGTTGCCCCTTAGTAGGGGCCACAAAGTGTAGGATGGCTAGTACCCAAAATTACGACTTAATAACATTTTCTGAAAACTGCAACATTTGAACATTAGAACTTATGAAAAAACACACATTGGGTTTTCTTTGAGATTCCAAAA